CAGCCGTTCGGCTTTGCGGGGGCTCGGGGGAGCTCCTAGAGCCGCTGCTGGAGCCCGGGCTGCACCGTTGCTCCTCTGCCCGTGGCCTCCCTTCTCCAGGAGGGCCGGTGCCAGCAGGTTGCTCCTACACAGGGTGTTTATCTGGAAGGGGTGGTGTTAGATTATGAGCGAAGCCTCCCAGGCGATTTCATGCTTTTGCTGGAACGTTTGGTGAGTGTTTGCGTTGGAAGGAAGTGGCTCTACTGAGGAAACAAATTCGGTGTGTGGGGAGGGAGCGGGCATTTGCTCTTCCGGCTAACTAACTCAGAGAGGGACCTAACAACCAGTGGAGGAGGGGGAGCTTCCAAAGGTAACCTGCCATCTCCAGATTGCTACCCTGCTCCAAAAATAAACTGTTCTGAGTGTGACGTGACGGCTTGGTTGCAAAATGCATTAGGAGCTCTCCTGGGGAGCCCGACAGGTTTGCATTCATCATCTCAGAGCAGAGACTGGCCTGGTCTCCCTTGCTCCGCAGGTGCATGCTTGGTGTCAGTGGCACCCTTTGGAGCTGACCGGGGATCTCTCAGTTGTTGTCTCCTGATACAGCAGCTCTTGTGCCACTCTACCTGTGGATCCATTCGCTCCTGCAAAGCTACAGTTGTTCAAAGACTCTCTCCCAGGGAGATCTGAGCTCTGTAAAAACTCTGCCTTGGTAAAGATAAGCTGGCACGCTAAATTCAGATGAGAATTGTCTTGGAGGTGAGGGTAGAGTGTGCGTGCTGGAACACGGCGTTCCCATTAGCTGCACCTCTGGACTAAACATTTGTGTTTCTGTTTTTAGTTTGTAAAAGGAGTTGCATCCTGCTGTCTCCTGGCAAGCTGAGGGGGTGGCCCCTGGGAGCAGCACTCCTGGATTTTTAAGAATTCACTGTATGTTTTGTTTTCCTTTCCTAGTCTCATCCAGTGGTTTGACACAGCACCGAGCCGGACTTGCCCGCAGTGCAGAATCCAGGTAAACCCATCACCTATGTATGCCTCTATTTCTGTGGCACCCCGCTCTGCAAACAGCACCAATGAGCTGTGGCCTAGGCCTGTGGCGATACAAGGAAAAGGCTTGCGGTGTGAAGCAGAGAGAGTTTTCTGTCACTTGAGGGTCTCCTGAAAGGCTTAGAGGGTGAACTCCCCTCAGCAACCCCTCCTGGTCAGAAGGGGTGGTCCGAGGGTGCCCTGCTGCTGTCTCTGTTGTAGCTTCTCTAGAAAGGGTCTCTGGGTTTTCATGGCTTTTACTTAGGCTGAGTAAGTATTGGCATAGTGATATAAAGGGCTGGAAGGGGTCAATCAGAGCATCTGACTTGTGTTTCTAGAGTACCCTGCTGCTTGATGCCAGGTCAGCAGCCCATTCTGCTGCACATGGTCCTTATAACTGAGTCCTGCTGCTTTGCAGTGCTCGGCCCTTTATTGAGAAAAGCAAAGGCTGGGGAGGGAAAGAAGGATGTGCCCTGCTTTGGAGATGGGGAACCAGTGGCTTAATTGGGACCTGAACTTCTTTGAAGTCCCTTGTGTCACCAGTCTTGATGCTGCCAGTAGGTGTTGGCACAGAGAGGCTGCAGGAGATGTTGCCTTGTGCTTGGATGTAGGCTTTTAGCCAGCTGCAGCTTGGGTTTGTTCTGTGTTCGTGCTTCTTTCTTCCTCTCAAGGTCTTGGCCCTTGTTCCTTCTCTGACTTGTTGATTCCCTCTGTTCTTCACTGCCTCTTAATCTCTGGGTTACCATGGAGTTATCGCGAAATAACATCTTATGTAGCAGTAACTATGCAATTAGCTGGTGTCATGACTGTATATAATACTTAAAACACAAAGCTGTAACTGCATGGGGGAGGTGTGGAGAGCTATCAAATTCAATTACAGCACCTTCTGCCTGCAGAAAGCAGCACGTACTTCTGTCTTAGGATTTGGCATCGTGTTAGCTCAGCGTCAGCTGCTTGGGCCTTAGCTGCCAGAGAACAGACTGCGCTTGATTCAGAAATGCCTGACTCTGCTGAGACTCAGGAGCTTGGCTGGAGTCGCGCTCCCAAAACTGAGTGGGGGGTCTGCTGCTGTGCTGGTGAGCCAAAGCAAAGTGTTGCTAACGGTGTCGAGCACGTGATCTGACTTGCCTTTCATGGCCTTGTGACAAGATGGTACCTTCTCTTCCTCTGTCTCTCTTCCATATCCATTGTGTTTCCATACCTGTGCCCATCAACCTCTTCTGTCTCCTGTGTTTAGGTCAGCAAAAGACATATCATCAATAAGCTGTTTTTTGATGTTGCCCTGGAGGAGCAGACAGCACCGGATGCAGAGACCTTGCAGGTAATTTCACTGGGTGGTTCTTCTGTTGTGTGATGCTTCGGTGTCTTGGAAGCGCAGCCAACATCTGTTTCCTGAGCTGCTGCTCGCTGTGCCCATATTTCAGACCTGAAGCACATTGGTGTCTCCTGCCTGTCTCCGTTCTCCTTCTCTCTCCTTGCCTGGTCTCAGCTCTGCTGTAAGGAAGTCTCCATGTGGTGGTTTAGAGTTCCCTCTGACCACATCTTGTGTGGTGACTCGAGAAGCATCCTATGCTTCACTGCTCTTCCTTCTGGTTCTCACCTTACCTGGAAACCTCATGAAGCAGCATCAAACAAACATCCAACTGCTGCTTCTCCCTTGGGTTTCAAGGCATTGGGGTTGAGGCTACAGAGCTTTTCCAAAAGGCAGGAGGAAAAAAAACCCCAAATGCAGTAAACTGCTGCCAGTCTCTGGCAGCACGCAAGCCCTGCTAACCCCTCTGGAAAGCAGAGGCTGTTAGAGGAAGTGCTGCCTCCTCACTTCTCTGCAGGTGGGTTTGTTTGCACAGACTGTGAGGACGTGGGGCAGAATGGTGATAAAGTCTTGCTTCCCCAAGATAAATTAGGAAAGGGGCTGCCTGAAGCTGCACCAGCAGTGGTGGACAGTGCTGAGGCTGGGTCCTTCTTGGGGGGGGGGAAGCAAGCTGGGGTGGTGGGTGATGTTCTCCAAGCCCCATGCAGTGGGGCTGCTTGGTGTTCTCCTCCTTTGTTTAGTGTGGATGAAACCCGGCTCCTTACATCTTGGAGTTATCTTTTCCAAAAAAGAAAAAGTAATCAGTTGACCTTGATATAATGGGATCCTTGTACCCTCTTGTGTTTAGAATCAGCATGTGCAGCAATTACCATAATTAGCAGTTGCCATGACAATGCTATATGTATATCGTATGTTTTTAAAATAAAGCCAGACAGACTATAATGTCATTCTCAAAGACCGCTAATAAAGAAACTAAAGGCCAAAGTATGCGTGCCTAGGAAATGAAACAGCATCTCTGGGCATTTGAAGCTGTGTGCCCTAGAAACAAAGCAATGGCTCGGAGCAGATAAATGTTGCCTTCAGTACACATTCAGATCTGTTCTCACAAGTGTAAATAGATGAGTGACTCGGAAATGGGTTGACTGGAGAGAATTGTCCTAGAAAAGCTTTCCTCTCACCCCCACCCCATGATCTAGGATGGATTCCCCCAGCCTTCCCCTCCAGGCAGGCTGTGCTGAAGATCTGCTCCCTTGCTCAAGGGCAGGACCGTGGAGCCACTCCTGCACAACAAGCTTGATGGTGACTCCTCATGCTCTTACAAAGTTCATTCTGTGGCCGGCTGCCAGAGCAACGTCTAGCCCTGAGTGTGCAGCTTTCCTAATGAGAGTGCTGAGGTCGCTATCTAATGAGACAGAACCAAATATTTTTCTGTGTAGATTAGTGTAGTTAGTTTCTATGGGTATTTACTGCCCTGTGCACTGATTCAGGTTGCTGCTGGGCTCATGCTTATTTGTCACCAGTTTCATGTTGTGTGCTGCCTTGTTTCTGGAAGACATGGAACACCCTAAGAACATGGGCAACCATCATGGGTGGGATTTAGATGTCTGTTTAGACTGGAGTTCTGTCTGCAAAAAGAATCAGCCAGAAGCAATTCCACCTGAAAAAGCCCCCAGATCCAGGGTTTGTCGCCAACCACTGCCTGTCCCTCCAAGAGATTGGGAGTAGAGCGGTACTTGGCTCCGTAATCAACTGGAGCTGTATCTCTGCGGCCTGCAGATGTCCTGAAATGAGCATTTGGCTCCTTCCGTGAAAAGGCTGGACTGGGGCAAGGGAGTGTGCTATAGAAAGCAGAGTGCATAGCTGTGGACCGCTTGTTGCCTTGGGGAGACAAGCTTGGGATCCTCTTCTGAGAACCAGTCTTATGTACCCAGTTATAAGTGGTCAGAAGAGCTCCCTCATAGCCTGAAACCTCTTGCTGTTATTGCAGAATTATCCAAATTATCTTTTGCATAATAATTGTCTTTGGTGCTGTTCCTCACTCTTGCTTCTGCTCTGAAATATTTACAGTTCAAAGGAGTGCCGGGGCCACTTTGCTCCCCACCAGCAGGCATCAGCTTCAGCTACATCCTGGAGGGAACTTGTTTTCCTGGAGTAGCTGCAGACCACAGGCTGAACGCTGCCACATGTCTGAGTGTTTCAGGGTGCTGAGCCTGGGTTTATCCTGTATTGCTCTTAAAGACGGTCCTCAGTGATCAGAACAGTCTGCATGTGGCCGTTCCCAGAGCAGGAATAGTGTGAGTTTTGGGGAGTCACACCTTGGTGAGGCCGCCTGGAACCTGATGCTTCCAGTTGCTTGTGATGTGGGGAGCAGAGAGCTCTTCTTCCAAAGGAGACTTGGAGACTTTGGCTTGCTCAGCTGGGTGAGAAGGAGGCAGGAGGAGGATTCCTGCCTGTAAACCTGCTGGGGAGGGTAGAAACCTGGGAGGACAGCTGTCTGTTTGTAGTCAGGATATACTCATTTGATCCTGGGAAAATGTGGGCTTGCAGAGAGGGGAGAGCTTCTATCAGAAGAGTGAAAGGCTGGGAGCAGCCTTTAGGAGAGGTGGTGGAGGATGAGGGATTTCAGATTAAGTTGATGAACAAGGTAATGTTACATAGCTGCCCGCAGTAGCCTGGGATTTCTTTGCCATCATGCTAATTAGCACATCTTGTGAGCTCACTAATCGTTCCTGAATAGGACTCTGAGGAAGCTACTCCAGAATAGTTCCTGCAGCAGAGCTAATTCCATGTCAGCCCTCCAGCTGTTGTCTCCCCGAGGGCAAATCCAACTCAGCTCTGCTAGGCTTTGCTTTTAGCCCCGTCTGCTTACTGAGCTTTGCATCCCATATTCTCTTCCCTGCCTTTATTGATGCTAGCGGAGCTTTGCTCTGGTCCTATTGGATCCGTGGTCACTGGTGCTGCTATTCTCAGCTCAGATTTGCATGTAGCGTTCTGGGTTGCACAGATTTGTGTGCTCTGCCTCAGTACTGTGTTGGCATTTTATTGTGGTTTTATTCCACTGCAGCTCCTGCCTGACTTGTTATGTGCTTTCCTCTGCAGTTCTCTCACACAGCAGTTTTAAGTCATCTTCTGTTGACTCTTTCCTGTCTGTATTTCTCTATTTTTATTTATAAATACACACACATAAATATATATGTATTGCCCTTCTTTGTAACCTCTGTATACTTCCTTTGGCTATTAGCCAGTGCTCATAAGTCATATCACTTCATTATCTATAATTTAAACTATGGGATGTTTGCTGCCTCTTTCTGATCCTTAATGAAGGCGCTAGAAACATTTGATCTTCCCCAGACCTTTGTGGCATCCAGAAGATGTTATGTGCCCTCAGTTTGGTATGGATTGCTTTATTGGTGACCTGTTTATGGCCATTTGACTGAGCTGTTAGCTCGCATCAGCATCCGGAGCTGCAGTGACTTCAGTCCATCAGAATGCTAGCTGGTGCCTTTTGATTGTATGCTCGGTTACCTCTTCAGAGATTTGGACATGCCCTCCTGTCTCCCACCTGCACCAGATTAAAGTTCGCTTCAGTTTAAAGCAACTCTCCAGTTAATCTGGCAATATCCCTGCCTTATAGCCTGGTTTAGGTAAAACATTATAAAAATTGTTCCTGTCTGATTTCCTGTGTTTCCCTGAGAGCCTTCCAAAATTATTCAGCTAAAACAAGACGACTGACAGTGTGAGAAACACAAGGTTGACAAGGCTAAGATGAAACTGGGATCTTCTCTTCTCCCCCTCAAGATGCCAGTTGGAGGTGCTCTTTGCGTTCCCTGTGATAGTTCTTCCTTGTAGCTCAGTGTTGCTCTTACTGCGTTCTCTCTTCTTAGCACCTGGCCAGTGCAAACATCCTGCCGAGAAACCTTTTGGGTCCTTTTAAGATCTGGTGAAAGCTCCTCTGCAGGGCATTTCCTAATTGGGTTTTCTGTCTTGTGTTTCAGAATGAACTGGACAAGGTGAAGGCTCAGCTCTCCATGGAAGGTGAGTTCCAGCTGCCAGCAGGGGATCAGCTTGACCTGGGTTCTGCCTGTGCTCGCAGGCTTGCCCAGGCCTGAGGAGCCCCTGTGCAGAGCCCACCTCTCTCTGCAGCCGAGGGCATGGTACAGGCTGTGAACTCTTTTGCTGGAGCAGCTTCTTCAGAGCTTTTTCTTGGGCGAGACCACCTAAAGCTGTACCAAGGTCGCGTAATGGAGCCAGAGCCCACAGCCTGGCCCAGCTCTGCTGTAACTGGGGAGCTCTCTGCAAGTTTAGAGACACATGTAATTTTTTTTTTTTTTGCCCCTCTTCCTAATCACAAGCTACAAAAGTGCAGCACAGCTATATCTGGAGCAGGCTTGCTGAAAGCAAAACCCTTGGTTTGCTCACTGGGAAACTCACAGCTGCACATGGCAAAGGCTTGTTCCTTCTAACAGATGAGGGGGTAAAAGCGGTGGCCAATCAGCAGTGGGAAGGCTTTGGATTTGTTTGGCTGTTGCAGTGCCACATGTGTCGCGCGAACAGCAGACGGGGTTCAGTGTGTGTGTGCGCGCGTCCATTTTCCCATCTTTAATTTTAGAGGATGTTTGCGGGAGGCAGGAAAAGCAAAAGCCCTGGAGACTTGTCGATGGGTTTTAAGCATCATCTGTAGGCAGCCTGTCATCAGAACATGAGTCATGAGCAGCAAAAGGAAAATGTCAGTCTGAGTGACAGAAATCCAAAGACACACTAGCAGAAGGGGAAAAAAAAAAAACATTTAAAGAATGCTGGGGGCTCACCCACGCCCTGAGAATAGTCTTTCCTCTGCCTTCCCTGTGTGCACGAGACAGACATGAATAGCCAGTAGATTGAGGATTCAGTCCTTAGCCTGAGAGCAGAATTGGACAATCTGCAGGTCTCTATTCTGAGGCCTGTTCTCTTGCCAGCTTGGTTGAGTTTAGTGTCTTGGTAGAGAGCCAGATCTTCTGGGGAAGGTGGCTGGGATTCTTGCTAGGATGTTATCCAAGAAAAACTGCTCGAAGGTCTGCTCATCTTCTCAGCTTCTGGTGAGTAGAGGTTGGATTTGACATTCCCTGTCCCATTCTCTTTTCATATTGGAAATGAGAAGTTCCTTCCCACCTCCTGCCTCCTTTGCCGTGGGCACTCTGCTCTCTGGTGGTTCTTGTGTATAAATTCTTCGCTTAAGGATGTGCTGTAGAGGAGCTGTGTAATTGCCAGTCTCTGATGAGCTCGCAAGTGGCTCTACAGGTGTGGTGCTCCGAGCAGACCCAGCTGGTGCTGTGGGAGGCACTCTGAATGAGCTGAAAACTCATTCCTGCAGCATGGGGAGGTTTGACTCCTGCCATCTGCCTCTGGGCAGCTGGGAACAGAGGAGGGGAAAGCCCTAACTCCTTTGGTGGATGTGGAGTCCCTGCAAATGCAGGGGAGTGTCTCCAGGCTGTGCTGCCTCTGGTGAGGAAGGGTTATTCAGATCAATGCTTTGTTGAGAAAGAAATCTCTGTTTCCCTAGCCACCTGCATGCTTCTGCTGGGATGTGTTCCTCTCTTCTTCCCCAGTCCCATGTGGCGCTCTTACTGTCTGATCGAGAAGTGAAGCTGCGCTGCAGGTCATGCTTCCATGGGATGCAGTGGCATAGCTTGCAAATGGATTGCTTGCAAGGAGAAACGGCTTTTTGGAAATGCACTGATTTGCTCTTCACTGTTGTCAGGCTGGAGCCACGGAAGATTTTAGCAAAGCCAGGAGATGCTGAGCTGAAGACTTTACCCAGTTCTCAGTAGGGTTAGTTAGATGGAGGGCTTGCTGCTTTCCCTCATTGCCCAACTGTTTTGAGCTTTCCAGTGATGCTGGCTGTTCCCTGCTTAGGTCTGTCAGCTCCTGATGATGGTTCTTGCCTTGTGAGCTGTTCTTCCCTTGCCTCAACAAAACAAATTGAAATCTGATGGTGTTTTCCATCACCTTCTCTCTGGTGGTCAGCAGTACGTGCTTTCTTCCTGGATTGCCCACGTGGGGATGGACAGCAGGGCTCAAAGGTTTTGTGACCTGCAAAAAGTGGGTGCTCTGGGGAATCTACTTAAGCTGTCGCATGTCCTGTAAAGTCCCCGGTGCCCAGTGGAGCTCTGCTTTATTGCCTCTTGCCCTTTGATGTAGGTGCCACGGTGAGGGTAGTTGCAGCAGTGTGGTGACACAGCAGCATGGTGCGTTGGTATACACAGCCGTCCGATGGCCCCCAAAGGGCTTCTCTGCACGTAAGGCTCCATGTGGAGAGGTCGGGCTAGGGGCTCCGCTCACCAGCTTGGTGTAACTCAAGAACAGTTTTCCCTGCACAAGCCTGGCTGTGAGAGCATGCAAGAGTTAAGATGCATCAACTTAATGCTAGCAGGGCTGGCACTGGAAAGCTATTAAAGGGAACTTGTTATCTTTAGTAAAGAAAATCTTGAAGCCTGCTGGCGCTGGGAGAAGCAATTGCTCAATACAGACCCTGGTGCAGACAGCACTTAGGAAAATGGCTCTCTACAGGAACGGCCAACTCCTAGCAGTCTGGAGCCTGAGGTTGCAAGCAGCATCTGTTTGTTGTGCTCCTGCTGCTGTGGGGCAGCTGAAGTCTGGGTTACCAGGCCATGACCTTTTTCTTTTTTTCTTTTCTAGAGAAAGAAAAGCGGGAATGCCAGGCCATTGTTGATGAGCTGAGGGACACTCTGGATGTGCGCAATGCCACAATAGAGTCACTCCAGAAAGTGCTGGGAGAGACAGAGATGCTGTGCTCCTCTCTCAAGGTACCTTTCCCGTCCCCAGCAAGGACTTCAGCACTAACCATTGCACTGTTGGCGTTGGTTTTGTTGAAGACCTCCATGGGCCCTGCTAACAAAGAGATTGTGCTGGTGGGATTTTTGGATTTGGTGCCTCAAGGCTCCCATCGCCTTGATCTCTGAGTGACAGAAGGGGAGCATAGCTGGGTTTTCATGTTGGGTTTATTAATTCAAAGCAAGTGGTGTTGCTGGTCTTGAGGTCCTGAGTGTGCTCCACCTGGGAGTGATTCGGAGGTGTAAAAGCCAGGCCTATGGCTTGCATACAAGTGGCTGCATGATCAAGGCAGAGGTGGCTGGAGTTGGGGAGAGATGCCAGCCCAGCCTGGGAACGCTGGCTAATGAAGTGGCAGCACTGATCATAAAGGTAGCAGCGTGAACCGAGAACAGGAACTGGCCCCAGCGCCCCATTGCCGAAACACTGGCTCCCTGCAGTAGAATGTTCTTCTGAAATGGGTTTAGGCCAGGCGGGATTCAAGGAAAATTAGTTTCTTAGTTTGATTGGAGGAGAAATCAAACTGAAATATTTGGAGGGGGAGTTGCAAGCTTCAGCTGAGTGGCATTTGATCCAGCTAACTCTCCTGTCTCTGTTCATTTGCCAGGGCTTTCCTTTGGTTAGGTTAGTAATGTGTGAAGTCCAGGGATCAAATATTCCCTTTGTGTTTTGGCGTGCAGTGACTCAGTGTGCAGTCATGTACTGTGTGTAAACAGCAAGTGGAAGAGGGGTAAGAGCAGGAGCTGCTTTGTTGGGATGTGTGTAGTGAGCAGAGTGATTCTGCTGTGGCAGTGGGCTGGGCTGGGCCCTCTCCACTGTGTGAAGATGATGTGCCTGTTGCAAGAAGATGGGGTTCAGATAGGTGGGATTGCGAGCTCCAGGCTGAAAGGCAGGGTAGGGAGCAACTGCACTTCCCAAGATCTCCTCTCCTTGGACTATGGGTCTGACCCAGTAGCCTGAACTGCAACATGTTCCTTGACCTGCCAGGCCAAGTGGCCCAGGCAGAGCTCGTATATGGGTTGCGGGGTCATCTTGCTGTATGCCACCTGCAGCTGGGAGGAACCAGTTGGGGAGGTCTGCCTGATGCTAGCAAGGTGGTGCTGTCACAGGGTAGAAGGAGAGTGATAGTAAGGAATTAATGCCAGACTGGCCTTGCTGTGAGCCAGCACAACTTTTTTTTGCCTGACCGTGGGACTGTATCCAACCTGCTTGGGTGGAAAGGCAGTCTGGGTCTGTACCATGCCAGAGATGCTCCTGGGATCTCAGCTGTACCAGTGGCAGGATACTTCTGATGCTCCCTACTCCTGCAGAAACAATTGTGACAGTGGAAACTGGTGCTTGCTGCTCAACTGAGCATCTCTGTGCTTGGCTTTCCTGCTGGGCACCTCAGGAGGAGGCTCTCTGGTTATCTTGCCTATTGCAAAACCCTCTGTGTACACTTAAGTCCTTTTAATGAAAGCTGGGCAGGGCACAAGGATTAGGGACCTGGAGGTATCTGTTCTGTGGTATATGGCGTTTCCTAGCTGAACGCCAAGCACTGTCTTATACTGCATCATTAAAGATTAAAGCACTAAACTTCCACAGTGAAAATACAGGTTTAACTAGCTGCAACGCAGGTCAAGCCCACAGGCTGCAAGCCGTTCCTGTCTTCTGCTAGCACCATCAGCTGCTGCTGGAACTTTGCGGAAGAGGTTGCCACCC